CCGGTGCGCTCGGGTGCCGGGTGAGCCCCGGGGCCGCGGCTGCTGTTTGCAGTCCCTCAGCCGCTCCACTGAGACCGGCTCTGCAATCCCAATCTTAGTGGGGCAGAAATGTCATATGACAGAGGGATGACTGCCAAATGTCAGCCAGTTTTCACATCTTGCCTTGGCAGAACACAGAGATGCTGAGAGGAGACACAGTATTGATTCTACCAGAGAAACTGGTAACGTTGTCAGTGACCAGTGTCCTGGTGTAACCAGCTTCTCGTTCTGCCCTCTTTTGTTTGTTTTATTCCACTATTTTCTCCTGTGATAACATTTCATAGGTGGGTACTCTGTGGCTGACAAATGACTGAAGGGAGTTGATAAAGTCCCAAGGTTTATAACACTGACACAGGAGGACGCTGATTGCGCAGAAGAGAGAACCTCAGCGTCCAGCCCAAAACCACTGTAGCTGAAGGGAAACCCCTTGAATTAATACCTGTTGGACTTCACAGTATGTCCCGGGAGATGGAGGAAATATGTAGCCAGGAGCTTTGAACAGATACTTGAGATTTTTCAATAGTAAGAAACTAAATGTTCTTAATTGAAATGCCTGTCAGATGTAGCCAGGGCAGATGGAAACACGGTCCTTCAACTCCCTGCGTTGACATGTCCCCAGCAGAAGGGAACAGTATTGCCCTCAAGTGCAGCAGTTGGTAACAGAAATCCAAACTGTGGCTGAGCTCTGTCTGTTTTCATCTCCCAGGGGCTGTGACCTGTCGTGGCAGTGGAGCTCACACGACAGCCGCCCTGCTGCTCCAGAGGGGATGACAGCTTCTGACCCATCCAGCAGCAACTGAGGGACCATCCTGGACAGAGAGCCAGTCCTGCTCCACTGGAAACCACTGAGCCGAATCACAGCTTCAAACTCTCCTTGGCTTAAACAGGTCTGGTGTCTTTGCTACTTTTCTTGAATACTGACAAGATTTTCGACAAGGATGGGAAGGGAGATCAGAGTACACTTTCTGCTGAGCAGTGGTGCTATTGAGGCCAAGTTGCATTATGGTGTTTTCCTCATAATTATTCATTCACTGGCAGTCTTTTATCAATATTATTCTTCCTTAGAACGTCAGATGTTGCAAATAAGTATAGACACTAAAAATACTATCTTGCTAATACAGTTTAAGCAAAAGAAGAAACAGACCACTCAGTAAAGGCCATGCTAATAGCCTTAGCAAAGTTAAAGTAAAGAAGTGGTTAAGGATCTAGATGATTTAATCCAGTTTTAAGAAAAGGTTTTACAGTGAGCAATTAGATGCTGTTTAAGGAATTAATCACTAATGGGTCATTAACTCTGACTGCTATTGTACAGTTAACAAGCCGAGGCAGGATTATTAGACTCAGCACCCAATTAAGAAGGAGAAGATATTTACAACAAAATGAACAAATGAGCTTTTAAAAAGGAAAGGGACAATTTAAAAGAAAGTGTAGGAACATGAAAAACTAGATAGGGTAGAAGAAAGATGTGAGTTTGCATAGGCCCGTCCCTTTATTTGCCCAGTTATGTTTAGCTGGTAAAATATTTATTTTTAGCAGTAAACTCTTAGCTTTCCTTGGAGGACATGATGGCACACAGTCGATCCATTACAGTGCTGACAGCTGATGAGGAAGTCAGGGGGTTCTTTCCAATGGCTTTACAGGATACAGGAGAACTGGAGGCAACAGGGAGGGAGGGAGGGCAGGAGTGTCAAAATGTGGAAAAGCACCACTGCAGTTTTGGGGAGTTGACTCATTCCCAAGTAATGACAAGTGGGATTGTTCCCCCCCAATGAGGAAGAGTGTGCAGAGCCTGTGCAGTCACTCCTTAGTGCGTGTCTGTGGCTGACACAGCCCAGGCTGTGCGGGCACTTCTCAAGCACACCAAGAGAAATCCTTTCCTCATAGCCACCAGAAGAGATGTACCTTCTTGCGACCCCAGCAGCCTTGGTGGTGCAAGCAAGGCTCACCTGTGAAAGGACCATGGGAGTAAGACCTAAAAACTGAAGCAATAGGGTTTTTGTTCTCCTCTCCTCCCCCCAGAAGTTCACTCAGGTCTCCTTGCTAGAAGTTAGCAAAATACCCCCCCGGTCCCGATAGCGATGGCGCTTCTTCTCTTGACAGCACTTCCACCTCTTTGCCAAGGGAGCAAAGAGCTGTGTGCTGGGCAAGCTGGGCACCTCCATGGACACACACACAGTAGCACCGTCAAGTCCAGAGCCCAACAGGAGGGTCTGCCCCAGCAGGGCTTCATTCCCCCTGAATTCAGGGGGGACCATTCACGGGGCCTCCCTGCATGCCCTGAACCAGTGTGGCTCAGGGATGGCAAGCCAGGGGGCCTGGGCACAGTGTGTGCTCTGGTCCAGAGAGGCAGGTTGGCTCTGCAGGGAGGCTGGGGAGAGAGGAAAAGGCGTTTGGAAACAGAAGGATTCCTATTATTATCTTTAAAAGAAGCTCTCCAGACAATAGATGGGGGCTGCTGTGGAGAAGGCTGTGAAGGGATGTTTAGAAACTGCTGTCTAAGGTTAAAAAGCTCTCCGAAGTGAAGCTGAACAAAGTTGACATACTTGTTTCTGACAGGACTCTTAAAAGATACGCACAGATTGTGAAAATATAATTAGACGCCAGCCTTTGTCTGGCCACAACGAGTGGGAAATGGTGAAAGGAGAGGTCTCCCAAGTCTGCATTGAATCATCCCCAGAACACAATGAGGGCACTTGTGCATCTTTCTCTCTTCCCTAATGAGAAACGTTAATTGCCACAACCTCCCGAGTGTGTAGAGCACCCCATGCCCAGTGGAGGAGAAGGGGTGTTTCATTACAGCTTCTCAGCCCCATTACAGGCAGTAACGGAGATAATGAAAAATAAAGATGCCGCAGTTTTAGTTTCGGCAGGCGGGCGATGGGCACTGGGTGGGCAGGGGAGCAGGCAGGGCCCAGCGCCGTGCCAGCCTCCGGGGGCTGTGCTGGGCAGCCAGAGCAGGCAGAATGTGCCCGCCAGGCCTCAGCCGGGTGTCCAGTGCCCAGGAAGTGACCGTCTGTCTCCCGCCGCAGCAGCTGGGCTGCAGGGAACCAGGACCCCTGCCATTCTCCTCCTCTGCAGAGGCAGCAAAGGCTGGGGACTGGCACTGCCCCCGGTCTGCCTGGGCAGGGGGCAGGCAAAGCCCACCTGAACCTAGGGCTGCCCTGCAAGAGCAGCTGTGGGAGTGCTGTGCCTGGCCCACGGACTGCCAGGGCCCCGGCGCCTCTGTGCCCAGGGGGGACCCTCATCTGGCCACACTCCCTGTTGTGGGGCTGCAGACCCCAGGGCCACGGCCAGCTCCTGCTGCTGGAGGAGGAGGGAGAAGAGTCCACAGCCAGGCATCTCCCACCCCTCCACGCATCACAGGCAGCGGAGGGTCCAGCCCGAGCAGCCCCTTTGAGTGCAGAAACATGATGCGCAGCCTCCATGCAGATGTTGCCATTTAATGGTGCAAAAGCAGAAACCCCTCCCCAGGTACGGCAGGATACCTGGGCTCCCAGGCACCTTACACAGCTCTTTGCCCTACTGCAGCTTTTATTGTGACTAAAGGATCCAGCCAAGGAGACAGAACAAAAGAGATTGTTTTTCCTAAGCTATGATTGGGCCCCTAACTCTTCAGGGCATGTGGAAAAGGGAATTAAAGGGACCACAAAATACAAAGCAAGTCAAGGCGTGGGGGAAAGGCTGGTGCAAGGGACAGCCCTCCTGTGCCCAGCCATCCGGGGCAGCCGAGGCAGGGCAAGGGTGTCCCTCAATCATCCTGGGACGGGCCTTCCCCATGGGTTTCTCCCAGGTGCTGAGGGGGAGTTCAGATTGTCTGCCAGGGCTTGCCGATGGACTGGATGTGCTCCTTGGCCTTCAGCCGCAGGGCGGCAATGCTCGTATTGCGTGGGTCTGCCTCGTCCAAGGGGAACTTGTCCACAAAGGTGGCCCCACACTGGTAAGGCGGCGGCGGCCCCATGGCCCCCAGGGGCTGCAGCGCGTGGGTCACTGCCGGAGAGTTCAGGAAGGGCGGTGGTGTGTAGCTGCCGGGCAGGCTCTGCGGTGAGGCCACGAAGCCAGGCAGGGTCTGCAGGGCCGTGCTGCTGGGCACTGGCGGGCTGAGCCACGTCTCCAGGGGGAGGTTGCTGCTGAGAGGACCCATGGGTGTTGCCTGCGGCGAGCGGTTGAAGGAGAGGATGGGCGAGTCCTGCAGCTTCATGGAGGTCACCTCCAGCTTCTCCTGCCGCCTCCACTTGGCCCGTCTGTTCTGAAACCACACCTGCAAGCACAGCCGTATCAGTCGGGCCCCGGGCAGAGGCTCGCCCCTGGGTGCAGCGAGGCACTTGAAACAGAGCGAGGGAAGCACGCAGCAGGCGATGTGCTGCACCGTGCCGAGCCAGGGCAGAAAGGGGTTTGGGGGCTTCGGGCGT